CAGCACTCACACACACACCCATCATCCAGCACTCACACACCCATCAATCATCCAGCACTCACACACCCATCATCCAGCACACACACACCCATCATCCAGCACACACACACATCATCCAGCACTCACACACACATCATCCAGCACTCACACACACTGCATTCATTATACACACTCTTCACTCACTACAAACACACTACATTCACTATACACCCTCTGCATTCACTATACACACTCTGCATTTATTATGCACATTCTGCACTCACAACACACTACATTCACTATGCACACTCTGCATTCACTACAAACACACTAAATTCATTATACACAATTTGCACTTACTACAAACACACTACATTCATTATACACACTCTGCACTCACTACAAACACACTACATTCACTATACACACTCTGCATTCATTATACACACTCTGCACTCACTACAAAAACACTACATTCACTATACACACTGCATTCACTACAAACACACTAAATTCATTATACACAATTTGCACTTACTACAAACACACTACATTCATTATACACACTTTGCACTCACTACAAACACACTACATTCACTATACACACTCTGCATTCATTATACACACTCTGCACTCACTACAAAAACACTACATTCACTATACACACTGCATTCACTACAAACACACTACATTTATATTACACACTGCACTCACTACAAACACACTACATTCATTATACACCCTCTGCACTCACTACAAACACACTACATTCACTATACACACTCTGCATTCATTATACACACTCTGCACTCACTACAAAAACACTACATTCACTATACACACTGCATTCACTACAAACACACTACATTTATTATACATACTGCACTCACTACAAAAACACTACATTCACTATACACACTGCATTCACTACAAACACACTGCATTCTTTATACACACTCTGCATTCACTACAAACACACTACATTCATTATACACACCCTGCACTGCACTATATGCATAGGAGTGTAATTTTTTTTTTTTTTAATTTTTTTAAGTGTGGGGGGGGAATCTTGGGTGAGTTCCCACACTTTTTTCCCCAGGACTTGACCCCTGTGCAGGAGGTTGACTTCCCTGGGGTCCAGTGGCTGCCTCAGGATGATGGGAGTCAGAGCACCCACTCTAAATCCCTCCTCTCCTTCTTTGGCGCTCTCCTCCTGTGCCACTCTGTTAGATGGGAGGAAATGACGGCTTCGTCCCAACTCTGACATCATCAACGCTGACTGGGCCCCAGTGAATACATTGCCATCAAATGGCCCCAAGAGCATGGGCCACCTCAATGCGTCCCCTGGCGGTAGTTCTGTGCAGCCAAGGCTGCACCACAATGCCAACAGGCACTCCGGTTGCAGGGGTCGATAGGGCAGCCAGGCCCCTGGAGTCACGAGCCAGGTTGCAGCTGCGAGCCCTGCAACTGTGGTTCTTCCGCCACTGTGTGTATCTCTTGCGAGCTTTGGTATTTACAGGTAGTGTTAAAGTGTAATGTTGCCATTGAAATTTTAATTATTTGGAACTCAACCACAGGTTAATGAAAAAATGTGATACTGTCACTTTAAGAAAACATAATTCTTGCAGGTGGTATAGCTGCCCATTCGTCTTGGCAAAATGCCTGCAGGTCATGCAAAGTCTTTGGTCGTCTGGCATGAAATGCAGGTTTGAGATCTCCCCAGACTGGCTCAATGGTATTAAGGTCAGGAGACTGTGATGGCCACTCCAGAGCCTTCTCCTTTTTCTGCTGTAACCGCTGGAGGGTCAACTTGGCCTTGTGCTTAGGGTCATTGTCATACTGGAAAGACCAAGAGAGTCCCAAGTGCAGACTTCGTGCAGAAGAATGCAAATTGTCTGACAGTATTTTCTGATAACATGCTGCATTCATCCAGCCATCAATTTACACAATATTCTCCATGCTTTTAGAGCTCACCTCCCCCACCTCCCCAAAAACATCAGTGAGCCACCACCATGCTTCACAGTGGGGATGGTATTCTTTTCACTATAGACCTTGTTGACCCCTCTCAAAACATAGCACTTATGGTTGTGAATAGTAAGCTGTATTTTGGTCTCATCACTGCAAATTACAGTGTGCCAGAAGCATTAGGTATCTGGGCTTTTTTGTGGCATTGGCGCAGTAAAGGCTTCTTTCTGGCAACTTGACCATGCAGCTAATTTTGTTCAAGTATTGTTGTATTGTG